GCCCGACTTAGGGGACAACATCCCCAGCATCCCCCGCATCACCGGCATCATCCGCATCAATGTCCGCCAAGGATGCGGATGATGCAGGTGATGCCGGGGATGTTGTCCACTATGGGCACCCCCCAAAAAACACTCGTTTTTTGACTCCGCGGGGAGATGCTCAAAAAGCCGCCAAAAATCGCCTGAACAAATCCGCAAATCCTTCGCCCCTTATAAGGGCGGGCCCAGCGCAAAAGTATAGCGCAAGGTCGGCGCATGGTCGGCAGTGGTCCGCGGCACAGGGCGGCCGGCCCTATACCTGAAGGTAGGCCCTGCGGGCCTAGGCCTTCGGCCGTATCACGGACCACGGGGTCTGAAGCCCCCCGGTGGCCGGATTTAAGGGCTGCCGCCCAGTGCCGCCGACCCCTGGATTTAGTTGTGGTTTTGGAGCCACAGTGCCCTTGGTTTTGGTTTCTTTGGTTTCTTTTGGGTGAAATGTTAGTGGCCCCAAAAGGCTAATCTTGTATTTCAGGGTTTGTTTGCATTTTTGAAGACACGAACAGGGACTGTGACTTGCTGGGCAACAAATGATCCCTGTCATGATCACTATCATCGTAGCATCCTCTGCTGCATTACCAAGGGTGCCTAGCGATGATCATGAGTACGCATCACTATCGAAACGGCACCTCGCCTCAGATGCCATTTGTGTCATTGAGATTTGGAGTCCTGCCTTGATGATAATCATCACTACGCATCATTCGCAGCATCTGTGGCAATCATGAGGATAATCATCACTACGCATCCCCAGCATCTCCAGCAGCGATGATCATAATCATGACTACGCATCACTGTCGAAACGGCACCTCGCCTCAGATGCCATTTGGGTCATTGAGATTTGGAGTCCTGCCTTGATGATAATCATCACTACGCATCATTCGCAAGAAACCAAAGAAACCAAAACCAAGGGCAGTGTTTTTGGTTGCTCGAAAACCACAACTAAATCCAGGGGTCGGCGGCAATGAGATGATGATGAGCATCATGATGATGATGAGAAGAGCGATGACATCATAATATGGATGATCATGATGATGATTATGATGATAACTATCATCGTAACACCCTTTGCATCACCAGTGCTGCCTAATAAGAGATGATGATGACCGTGATGATAATGATGACAAGGATGAGGGCTGTGATGATAACTATCATCGTAGCATCCTCGGCATCATCAGCGCCGGCTAACAAGAGATGATGATGACCATGATGATAGTGATGATAAGGATGAGGACTGTGATGATAACTATCATCGTAGCATCCTCTGCATTACCAATGGGGTCTAACGTTACTTTTGAAATGCAAATAAGAATAAGAATAAGAACGAGAATGAGATGATGATGATCATCATGATGATGATGAGAAGAGCGATGACATCATAATAAGGATGATCATGATGATGATTATGATGATAACTATCATCATAACGCCCTTTGCATCACCAGTGCTGCCTAATAAGAGATGATGATGACATCCTCGGCATCACCAGTGCCGGCTAATAAGAGATGATAATAACCATGATGATAGTGATGATAAGGATGAGGACTGTGATGATAAGTATCGTCGTAGCATCCTCTGCATTGCCAACGGGGTCTAACGTTACTTTTGAAATGCATATAAGAATAAGAACAAGAATGAGTCATGATGATCATCATGATGATGATGAGAAGAGCGATGACATCATAATAAGGATGATCATGATAATGATTAGGATGATAACTATCATCGTAACACCCTTTGCATCACCAGTGCTGCCTAACAAGAGATGATGATGACATCCTCGGCATCACCAGTGCCGGCTAATAAGAGATGATAAAAACCATGATGATAGTGATGATAAGGATGAGGACTGTGATGGTAAATATCGTCGTAGCATCCTCTGCATTGCCAACGGGGTCTAACGTTACTGTTGAAATGCAAATAAGAATAAGAACAAGAATGATCATAATGATGATGATGAAAAGAGTGATGACATCATAATAAGGATGATCGTGATGATGATTATGATGATAACTATCATCGTAACACCCTTTGCATCACCAGTGCTGCCTATGATGATGATCATCATGACGATGCTGAGAAGAGCGATGACATCATAATAAGGATGATCATGATGATGATTATGACGATAACTATCATCGTAACACCCTTTGCATGACCAGTGCTGCCGAATAAGAGATGATGATGACATCCTCGGCATCACCAGTGCCGGCTAATAAGAGATGATAAAAACCATGATGACAGTGATGATAAGGATGAGGACTGTGATGATAAGTATCGTCGTAGCATCCTCCTGGAAGTCCGCGAAATGGAAATCAAAGGAACTGCACGAATTTGAGGGGGGCACTGGAGAGAAGCCAAAATGCAGGCAAATGCGCGGTCAGAACGCGAAGGGAACCGAAGAAGGAAACGAAAAGAAATTGTGGAAATTATGGAAAACGGAGAGAAACTGCGAAATGAAGGGATGTGCAGGAAACTGACGTTGGAATGGGAGGCGGACTGAAGTCACGGAAGCTGAAAAGAACAGAGGGGAGGACTGCGACTGACACGGCGAAACTGTCGAAGATGCAGGAAAGACGCGCGAAGGAAGTGAGGTTCAAATCTCGGGAACTGATCGGAATTCACGGAAAGGGAAGTGACAGAACGGACAGGTCAAGGTGCCCGGTGGCCGGCTGTGTCGCGTCAGCGTGTAAATCCGGCCACCGGACGTGATCGGGCCGCAGGCCAAACCCTGCAGGGCTTACCTTCAGGTATAAGGCCGTGCGCCCCAGGCCGCCGACCATGCGCCGACCATGAGCAGAACTTTTGCGCTGCGCCCGATTTGTGGCGGCTTTTTGAGCATCTCCCCGCGGAGTCCAAAAACGAGTGTTTTCTGGGGGGTCCCCATAGTGGACAACATCCACGGCATCACCTACATCATCCGCATCCTTGGCGGACATTGATGCGGATGATGCCGGTGATGCTGGGGATGTTGTGCCCCTAAGTCGGGCCAATTTTGCCGAAAACGTGCAACCTGAAAATCTTAAAGTGGATGGAAAATGGATGGAAAATGGCCTGGATTGAAATCTCAAAATCCTAAAGTCTTAGATTCTTAAAATCTTCAATTAAATCTAACAATCAATCTTAGAATCTCAAGATCTTAACATCTTAGAACTTAGAATCTTAAAATCTGAAAATATAAAAACATCCTAAAGTCTTCGAATCTTGAAATTTTAAAAACCTTATGTCTTAGAATCTTGCGATCTTAAACTCTTAAAATATGAAATTCCTAAAGTCTTACAATCTTAAAATCTCCGAATCTTAAAAACGTTTAAAAACTTAAATTCTTTAAATCTCGAACAATTGAAGTCTGAAAATATTACTTTCTTAAAATATTACATTCCTTCGATCCGGGCTATATTTTAAATTCCTGAAACTCTTACTCTTGAACTATTGAAATCTTGAAACCTTAAGATCTTAAAATTACAACCTTAGAAGTTAGAATCTTACAATCTAAAAATATAAACATCCTAAAGTCTTCGAATCTTGACTTCTTTAAATCCTAATGTCTTTGAATCTTCAGATGTTAAAATGTTAAAATATGAAATTCCTAACTTCTCAAAGTCTTAAAATCTCAGAATCTGAAAAGCTTTCCAAACTTAAATTCTTTAAATCTCGAACTATTGCAATCTGAAAATCTTAAATTCATAAACAAGTAAAATATAATAACATTCCTTCAATCCGGGCTATGTTTTAAATTCCTTAAACTCTTAATCTTGAAATTTTGAAGCCTTGAAATCTTAGGATCTTAAAATCTTAACTTCCGAAAGTCGCCAAATCTGAAAATCTCAAAAAAATAAAATCTTAAAGCCTTCGAAATCTGATACTGGATGGAAAATGGCTGGGCAATGGCCTGGCTGTTATAACCTTCACAAACCTTAAATCTTTGAATCTTAAACCCTTAATTCTTAAACCATTGAAACCTTAAATTCCGAAAGTCTTCACATCTGAGCCTTTTAGAATCTCTAGAATTTTAAAATCTTAACATCTACTAATCGGACTTACAGGAAAGGGAAGTGACAGAACGGGCAGGGCAAGGTGCCCGGTGGCCGGCTGTGTCGCGTCAACGTGTAAATAGGGGCTTGTCAAAGATCTGCTTGTTTGGACTTGGTGCCGCAAGGGGATACCCCATATGGAGGATGGCAAAACCAAGATCACTTGCCAGAAGGACCAAAAGGAAAAGGTAAACATACTTAGCGGGGCCATGCATGAAAACCTCCGATTGCTCATTGCTTGTCCCCAAAAGGTTGCTAAAAATGGGAACCCTCCAAATATAGGAAACCAAAAGGATGGGTTGATTCGCATTTGAAGAAACTGAGTGAAATCTGGACCCGAAGCGACTACCCCCAAAAAGCACAATCAGAGGAGACCCCATTTCCAAAAAAGAAAAATATTGTTGCTTTTCCAGAGGGTCCCTTGGTACGTTCTGAGGAGGTACTGAACGACTCCTTTCTACCCCCCACAAGCCTTTCTCATGAGGTACTTGACCCTCTGCGTTTGGTAGCTCATTTCGTTTAAAGGGGTTCTTTGACCATGGCACATATATGCTTTACCCAGTATCTTTAGCTTCTATTAACTTCTATTCATATGGTCACAAAGATTCACAAAGGCCTTACTGTAAGCCTTATACAGCCAGAAAACACAGCCTACTCAAATGGCTGGCTGAAAAACATCTACAAATATGGCACCTGGGAAAATGGAAAGACCTGGCAACCTGCACTTTGCCCTGTCTCTTTCCTTTTGAGCCACACCCAAATTTGTATGGAACTGGTCTACCCAGAACCGTATCTCAAGACTTCAGAAGGCGGATATCCGCGGATATTCGCGATTTTTCCGGTTGGGATCGTCCCTCAGCTTCTTCCTACCCCCGGGTTTTCAGCCAGTGGCATTCTCATGGCTCGCTTTCGGCGCGTTTTGGGCCAAGGCTCGTCGTCCATGCCGCCCATGCCGCCCATGCCGCCCATGCCGCCAGCTCCGGCGCCTCCGCCTTCATGGGCGTGGCGTTTGTGAAGCATATTTTCCCGGTGGTGGTGGCTCAGGGAAACCCAAGAGGAAAGCCGAAACCCATTGGGCGGTCCCCTGCAAACACCCCAGATTCTTGGTTGCTGCAAGGACCCCCCTGCAAAAAAGTTTAACTGTTTTTGGGTTTTTAGTGGAAAACACCAGTATTTCCCAAAAAGCTAAAGTCTAAAGGATCTTGGTGAAACAACAAGTTGGCGAAAGTGAGAATTGGAATTCACCTCCAAGGCTCGTGGACATGAGACCAGCTGATGTCAAAGTGTCTGCTAGTAACATTCACAGCCATATGGCCACTACAACCTATTTGCACTTGGAGCCCTTGCCCAAGGGGTCTCTTGGTACCTTCTGAGGTACTAAACGACCGCTTGTTACACCCCAAAAGCCATCCTCATGAAGTACTTGGACCCTCTGGATTGGTCTAGTTTCACATAGTTCAGCTTCCATTTTCACGGGTGAATCAATTCATGAACTCGGAGTCATAGACCTTTTTGGGCAAACATTCAGGCGACACGTCTCGGGTTTCAGTATCCAAGCGCCCAAGAAATTCAGGTTCAAACCAAACAGTACACAAATCCATTCAAGCCCTCGCTCTCTCTCTCTCTCTCTCTCATGGGGTCTGGGGACATTTTCTCGCTTCAGTGATCAATTACAGGTACCCTCTGCAAATGGCACCGAATTGCCATGCTTCTTGTTGGTCGTGCAAGCATCATATTCTGGCATGTGTCAGGGAAACCCCCCAAATCGGCATCTTAAACACACTGAAATTCCTTCGGGCAGGCGCGGAACAACTTTTCCCACTCGCCTTTGTTCTCCTCTGGGATCTCTGTCACCAAGCACTCCGTGGTAGTCATTAAGGATGCCACCTCAGAAGGTGAGCCCCGACTCGCAACCCACCCAGAGGACCTCGCGAGGGTTTTTGCCACACGTTTGGTACCCCACAAGCATAACCCAAAGGGTCCAAGTATCCCACTTGGACCCTCTGGGTAACAAAACTCGGGCCCTTTAGGGATGGTTTCCGTGGCACCGTTCTGGGCGCTGCCGGTTGAAGGGGATACCGATATCAAGTGTCAATCCGCCAAAGCTTGATATCCAGAAGAAAAGCGCAAGCCACACGATTCGCGTGCTTTGTGGGTGAAACGGGGTGAAAACACTCTGAAAGGCTCCAAGTACTTCATGAGAAAGGCTTTTTGGGGGTAAAGGGGGTCTAAGTACCTCCTCAGAAGCTACTTGGACCCTTTAGGACTGAGAGTAAAAACCAGAAGCATGCGCTCAACACTTTGGGAGAGAACTTTGCAGATTGACTTGTCCGGCTTCTCGCGAGGATCGCCACACCATCCACAACAAGCAGGTGGTTTGAGATTGAGTGAGTCTACACCACACCTCCAAAGACTACCAAGGTGAGGCGGTATTTGGCCCCATGCAGGCAAATAACCCTAACCTGGCGAGGAGTCTTTGGAATACAATGTTGTTCCAACAAGGTAATCTTCTTCGAAGACTAACACCGAAACATCCTTTCGAGGCAAGATCATCTTGGCTTTGCCTGGACCCCACAGGACCCCTTTTGTCTGCCTTTGTACCACCTTCTTTGTGGGTCAAGCGCATTTCGGGGGCCTTAGACACGTATTCTGGAAGGTGCGTTTCTGTTTTGGGCCTCCCTCCTTACATATCGAAAGCACTGAGTTCTTCACTGGCCCCCCAAACAATAAACACTTAATTTACAGGGGGCTTTCTTCTATTAGGCGAGGTTGCCGCCGTTTATCAATATAATCATCTTGATAGGGAGCATTGCTGCACATACCGCATTGTTGCAGGAAACTTTGACATTCGTGTCTGCCGTCCGGCCAACTGGTTCAAGCCACCCGCGCCCGATTCAGTCCTGATATGTTGACCTCAAATGGCCAATCCTCTTGCCTTGTGCCAGTACTCCAGGGGGTCGATGGCACAGGGGGGGGTTGCTCTTAATCTCTGGGGCCCCCGTTGAGAGCGCGGCCGAGAAACCTGGCCCCGGACCCCAATTTGTTCCGCAAGAGAAGAAAAACAACACCAGCGGGTTCTTCTTTTTCTTGAGCCACGTGGAAACCCCCCAAAACAGCAAGCCCCCCCCCAAAAAAAAACCTGAGAACCCACAAAGTGGGGTTCTCCCGCTTTTGGACAGCCCGTCAAACCCGCAAAAGAAGTCGAACCCAAACAAGCCCAGAGGGTCCCTTGGTACCTCATGAGGGAATTTCTGTTGGGGAGCAAGAAGGGGTCGTTCAGTACCCCCTTAGAGTCTCCGAGTAACCCTTAAGACATGGTTGGTCATGGACCCAAGATAAAGGGGTCATGGACCCATTTTGGATTCGGGTCAGAAGGAGTCTCCAGGTCCTCAGCCACCAAGGCACCCTCTAAGGCGAACCCACGCCGCTCCCGGCTCGATCCGGGGCTTCGAGGCCCGCGCCGAGGCGGCGTCCGCCAAGGCGCAGCGCACCACCTTTGTGGGGTCCTCGGGTCTTCGAAGCGATGGGGACTTTTTTTACGCGGATGGGTTGAAATCGGAATACTTCCGCGAGTCTCGCGCCGACGCGCGCTTCGCACCTACTTGGATGGTCTGGGGGTCAGCAAAATTGGCCAGTTTTGGTCTGGTTGTAGACTTAGATGGTCTGGCAGTTAGCTAGATTGGCGAGCTTTGGTCTGGTTGTAAGTCCCCTGCAACCAGGGTTACGAGTCACTTAGCGATTCGTCCCAGACCATCTAAGTAACCCAAAGGGTCCCTTGGTACCTTCTGACGTACTGAACGACCTAGAGTCTCCGTAACCCTTGAAACATGGTTGGTCACTACCCTAAATAATGGGGTCATGGGGTCATGACCCAATTTTTACGTCATGGAGACTCCAGGGACCTCTTTACCCCCCAGCCATCCTCATGAAGTACTTGGACCCTTTCGGAATCAAACCATGCTGTTTGTAACGGTATTTACGTTGGGGAATCAGCAGAGATGAATACCAGGCGAGCGCCGTTGCTAACCCAAGCAGCAAATTGATGCTTGATGTTTTCCTTACAGGCTGGCAAGCCCTTGGTTACCTGCTATACAGGTAAAATACGGATCCCCGCAGCTAGGAATCTTCTGCAGGAAGTTGACCAACCCAACTTAACCAGCAGACTCCTGCATAGTTCCCCTGAAATGCACAAAGTCTAAAACAATCCACCTTCGAACAAGGACATACCCACATACTGTGGATGGACGAAATCCTGCACCACTTGGAATTCATGGGACACCATTCTTTGTTGGTATGTGCAGATCGAATCATTCAAGGGTTTCTCACGGTATGATGGTTTCCCTGGTTAATATAATGGGGTAACTGGAAGTACAAATCCATCGGGTAGCCAGGATCTTCTACCCTTCAAGTGAGTTCAGAGTTTGGAGGGGCCCCGGAGTTTGGCCCGAAGCCTTCACATGGCAAAAACGGTCAGGAAACCACCGGAAACCCTTCGCAAATGTTCCATGGTTCTATTGCAATACTGTGGATGGACGAAATCCATTTCGCGCCACCCAAGAAACCCCACGGAATGATTCGATTCCACTGCATATACCAACACACAATGGTTTCCCATTGTTTCAAAGTGGTGCAGGATTTCGTCCATCCACGGTAGTGCTGGGCTGTCCTCAGATCCCCTGCTAAAAGTTTCACTTGTGGGTCAAATGGAAACCCAATCCTAAAACCAATCCTAAAAGCCTAAAGGGGATGGCTGGAAACCACCAATGAGTAGAAGGATTCTATTGTTCGATGGTTCTATTGCAATAGAACAGACCGCTGTCTGTGGTCCTTGCAGGGACCTAACTAGAACAAATTAGTCATGGCCTATAGGGGCAAACAAATAGCAATAGATTTGCCGCTTATATTGCCACAACCGGTATCTTGTCATTGAGAGCAACCCTGGCTCATAAGCTCTTGCTTGTCGCCAAAGGTGCGTAAACAAAAGAAGCAAACGTTTTAGAACTTCGCAACCCAATCGGTATGGCGTTGCAAAACACTTTGCCTTTCAGCCCCGGAACCCTTGGAACCCTCCAGAACCCTCCCTGAAAGCTGCCCCAAACCACACCAAAGCCTATCTGGGCAGAGACCCCATAGCTATCCTTAGGGGAGAACAAGAAAAGCATGCCAACTGCAGTGCAGTGCAGGAACCTATCAGCAAACCTATTTCAAACCTGCAGACAGGCACCTCGAGTTAAAGTGAAAGGGTGCTTTTGGAGCCATCCTCTTACAGCAGGTGCTCAATCCTTGTGCACCATGGAGGCTTGGCCAACCCGTTGTTCTATGTTCCCCATTTGGATATCCAAAATCAGGGAGCCCAGCAAATCAAATCGTTTTTTGTTTTTGTTCCATCATCAAGGAGAAACGTGGACCCCAAACTCCAACAAGACACACCAAGTGCAGGAAGAAGTGCAAAGCGGGGCCCAGCGCAGCGTTGTTATCAAGAGGCGATGATGCCGCTGGTGATCATGTCCACGTACCTGGCGCTGGTCACCGAGTGAAACAGATTCCAATCCCAGAAGGTCCAAGTTCCTGAGGAGGCACTCGGACCTCTTGTTCCCCCCAAAAGCGTACTTGGACCCTTTGGGTGAGTAAAACAGATTCCAGTGTGAGCCACGACCCAGGCATCACTGAATTTCCCCCTAGAACATCTTGCTGCTGGTGCTTCCGTTGAAACGATCGCCAGTGTTGGAGGTTTTTCTTTAGAGAGGGAAATGGAGGAAAACCTGTCAAGATCTGATAGACATGGTTTATCGTCAAGAGTCTCTGAGGGCGGACATCCGCGCTTCGTCTGCTGACTCCTAACTTTTACTTTCCCGGGTTTTGCCCTTATAAATCAGCATTCATCCATCCCAACTTCTGAAAGGAGAATCAACCGCCAAAGTTCAAGCTTTCACACGGCCCGGCACTGGTAGACCTATGTTTGATCAAGATTGCCCAAACAAAGTAAGTTAACTTTCTTTGCTTGCCAAACCGAAGTGATTCTTCAGTCCGAAACGGAACTCAGGGAGTCAGTAGAGGGGGGCCCTCTGGGTTCACCATTGGGGGTACAAGGGAAACAGAAAACCGCCGATCTAACAACGAACTGCGCGCAAGCGCAAGCACTCGACTGCACAGTTTACCTTTCGCCTCACCACATGTGCCATGGTCAAAGCTCCGAAGCTGTGTCATAGTCCTGCTGCGCTTAGGAGTCTTGAAGGTGGTCTAAGATTTTTTAAGGAGCACCAACCATCACCCCAAGGCCGACAAAAAGAGTGGTTTTTGACCATGGGTTGCCTTAAAATCCGAAGGAAAGCGACTGCCAGAATTTGGCGAACCCTGGTCGTCCCTGGTGTCCATTCACATTACCCAAACGAAGGTGGAAATTAGATCATGTTTATTCCCCCAGATAGGCTCTGGGTGGGTTGGGAGCTTTCAGGAGGGTTTCGGAGGCTTCCTTTCGTGGGGTGCTCCGGTGGGGATGCCTGGGTTTGAACCCGCGTGGTCTGATCATCCTCAGCCTTGTCGTGCCGAGATGTGTGGCAAGTGTGGGCGATGTTGACCATTACTTGGTTTGAGCAAAAACACACACAACCCAAGATCACATGAGCACCAAACAAAAACACTTGCTTCTCCAACAGCGGCTTTTGTAGCCAAGGTTTGGTTTGCCCCTCTTCTGTTTCTCCCCAAGCCAATAGTGGACTAGCAATCGTATTGTTAGTGACTGATGTCCCAAAGATCAAGCAAAGATCCGGATCCCCTCAACTCGAACCAGCTTTTACATCTTTGACCTGTTCACGGTAAATAATACGCTCAGTATGCCACACTAAAAAGGTTTTGGAGGAGACCCCAGTGGCTAAGCAGCTAAACTCAAGGCCTTAACCCAGGATATTCTCAAAGAGCTTGACCATTCTTCCGCGGAAAACAAGAGTCTGTCTGTGCTTGCCGTCAAAGGTTGCCGCCGCAAATAGATTTCATGGTTGCTGCCATTGAAAACAAATGATGGTGGCTAAACGGGTCCGCGCCAGAATGGGTGATGTTGTATGCTAGATGTCCCTTTCAAATAATCCTAACCAGGATGCCCCTCTCAAAATAAACATTATGGGGCTGGGGGAGGGAGGAGGGGGAGGGAGCCCAAAAACGCTTATTAATTAAGGCCTTGTTTGGACTCCCTCCCCCTCTATTTGGGCTCCGTCCCCCTCCCCTTGCTCCCCCCCAAGCCCCCCATGAACACACTCGGTCCCCGTTTCGGGTCTCGGCCCGGAGTGTGATCCAGCGCACTCGCCAGTCTGCGCATTGTATCCGAGCCTTGTCGCGCGCATCAGTCGGCCCGTGATTCTCCGTTAAACCAATGGAAGCCAGGGGGCCTCTACTGGATTTACATAGGGGGTTCAGGAAAAAGCAACACATAAACACATACCCATTCCCTTTGGGCTTCTGTCCGGGCAAAGCCAAAAATAGCTATCTACCCAGCAAGTGGAACCGCACACCTCAAAATGATAGAGCAGGGTCTTTCCATCACAACCCCAGTTTGATTGTGTCTTTGGAAGCTGATTCCAAAGGCGTTACCTTCAATTGACCGAAGCGCGTAGAAGCATGTGCAAGGATCCTCCCTTCTGCGGGATGCAAAGCACAGACAGTCTGATTAAACCCTGACACTGACAGCTACAAATAAATGTTGCGTTGGAGTAGAAGGGACCAGTTGCCCTATGGGTGAGGCGTTGCATTCTCGAGCAAAGGCTTGCAGAGCAAACCATAGTGGTTCGACACCACTCTGGTCCGTCTTCTTTATTGTTTGAGGCTTGACGGGCTGCTTGGAATCTTGGAAGAATCAACATGGCCCTTCAGACAAAAAGAAACAAACACTCCCAGAGCGTCCAAGTACTTAGACCCCCTTTTTACCCCCATCCTCATGAGGTACTTGGACCCTCTGGGACTGGCCCCATTACTTCACCACTAGCAAAGTCACCCCTCAAGTGGTAGGTTGAAGGAAAACCACCAACCAGCTTCTGACTTTGATAACCCCCAGAAACAGTCGAAAGAATGAGCCAAGACACACCTCTAAACACTGTTTGTTTGGTTGATTCCATTCCCCTTTAACTGAGAGGGCAAAGGCTGGGATACTTTGTTGGCATCCACTAGATGAAAACAGTTCACCGCATTTGCCTTAACTCAGATCCGGCAGCTTGGCCAAAAGTGAACGCTTTGTAGCCCAGATATGGGCGTGTCACTTCTAGTAGAAGCTCCTTTGTCTTGGCTTTCAAGGGAAACCAAAAGACACCAACCACTTCGATTTTTCTTCATTTTCAGACAAAGCCGTGTACGCATTGGTCGCCACAAGACGGCTTCTCTGAAATGCAGCGCAAGGAGCTTGTCATCGCTCTGCTTCAGGAGGTGTTGCACCACCACAGCGCCTTGGGCGCTTTCGGAGGGACAATGAAACTACTAGAGGAATCAACTTCCAAGGACTTGCTTTCCCTTCGCAACCAGCCTGTACCCTTCCTGTTCGAGATGACATGGATCTAGAATACATGTTGAACCAACTTCCAATTTCAGGCTGCACGTTGTCGTTCCGGTTCTGCTGCCTTTCACTTGGGATATCTCGAGATGGCCCTCCCTGAGCCAACATGTCAGTTGTTCGAATGGGAGGTTGTCAGCCAGGCTGTCACTCTGACGAAATCCTTTTTTCCCACCAGTTGGGATAGCACTCAAGCTTCCCCTGTCCCTTAAGGGCAAAGAGGTATGCTTGTCCCGAAATCATCATTTGTGCCCTCGAAAAAAACACTCCTGGTGTGGGTCATCGTGGAATCCTTAATAGTTGAACAGGGTAACTCTGTTCGGGTCTGTTTGACCGCAGAATAGGCTCCGCGCCCTCTTTCCCCGCATTCTGCGCAATGGACATCAGCGGAACCTACGCGGGCCGCTGGGAGGTGAGTCATGGCAACCTGATGCCTTTTGTCTCTTTTCAGGGGACCCCTCCCTGAGAAAAAACATGTTGTCCTTTTGACTTCCCGTCCAAAACACGCCAACGACTCAGTTGCCCAAAGGACCCAGAAATGAAAGTTTTGAGGCCATGACTAAAACTGGACAAGCAAGGGGACACCAAAAGGTCAAAAAACAACGGCTTTGGCAAGTGCCAAGGGGGCACCGCGCCTCGAAAAAAAGGCGCGCCCCCACCCATTTGGGGCTGAAAAAGTGGTACAGAAACAGGTCCTTTGGAATTCCTGGTTTGTCTCAAGGTCAACTCTCAAAATGGGGGGGTCTCCCCGCAAAGGGTTGTCCCAACAAGCACCCATTTGGGAATCCTACAGCCCCGGCCCCAAACCCACCCTCGAGAGACTTGCAAAGGCAGCCGGACGTTTATGACCCATCTTTAGTCAAAGGCAGAAAAAAGGGTCCTTGGTCAATGGGGAGCCCAAGTTGACGTGGCTGCCAAAAACGGTTTCTCTCAACCGTGTTGGATTCCCAAAAGCCCAGACCGATCCAACTCTACGTGCCTCACGCCCGGAATGTTCTTTGGTGCACCCAATGCCGGTGTAGATTTTCCCTTCACCACTCAAGGCCGCCCTCCAAAAAGAACACAACCACATATTGCAAGTCGGGGAACAAGACGCCCCCGCAATTGTTCACAATGTTTTGTTGTTGTTTTCCCCCTGGTCGGTTTGCTGGCAATATTCAGGGCATCCACTGTAGACCATGAAACTTGAAACCCACACTCGTGAGAAAGGAAGCCACATGTTGGGACTGCCCCGTCCGCCGAACACCCTCGCGCTGCTGCAAACGCATCGGCAAGTCTTGCTCTAGTTGAATCTTCCAGCTCACGCCAAGCAGAGTGCCCTGGCCAGTCCTCCGCTTTGGCCCCTATCTGCAAAGTGGCCCTATTTTCCTGTACCTGGAGTCTCCTTCTGACCCTTTAAAAATGGTTGGTCATTCATGGACCAATTTTTGATTCGGGTCAGAAGGATACTCCAGGTACAGCAAGTCGAGTTGTGGTCCTTCCTGTGTTTCCCAGTGGATCCTTTTACCTGTACAGTAAGAGAAACCAAAACGAAGACCGAGAATCCATTTTGCCATGTCCCACTCCTAAAAAAAGACCCCGTTCAACACTGACTCTTTTGCGGGACACACACACACACCATTGTTGTTGGTGGGAATTTGAAGGGAAGCCTTTTTGGGGGGTCCCATTCCGAATAAAAAGACGAGCCACCCATATTTCAATCTGGGACCACCCGCCTATATTGCATGACTTACTGATGCTCAGTAGGGAATGAGAAATGGAATGACCCGAGAAAAACCATCCAACTGGTGATTTTCTTTATTCGGGAATCCCGAAACGGTTCATTCCCCACGGACCGGTCCGAAAGTTTTCCAACTGAGCAGCAAGCTTTCAAGGAATGGAATGAATCTGGTCCCCTTCAAGGAAATCCCACTTTTGAAGGTTCATTCAACCACATTCCCTTCCCAGAAGGTCCACGTACCTTCTAAGGAGGTACCAAAAAAAACATGTTTACTTTCCAAAAGCCCACACCATGAGCTAACGCCCCCTTTTTACTTTCCAAAAGCCACCGCAACCTCAGGTAATCCTCAGAGAAAAAAAGAAAAAACAACTCTGGGCGACCGAGTTCCTTCGCAGGCGGCTTTTTCCATTCCCCGGTTTCGCCTGCATGGCCTGGCGGATGATGTCCACCCCCACGTTGCGGTCGAAGGAGCCCAGGTCCAGCCCCTGCAAGAGGCACCGGATGGCACCGGCGTTCCGGGAATTTGGGGGGGGGGTTCCAGGCGGATGGGTTCCACATGGCCATGGACGCTTAAAAGAAGGGACGCCAAAAAAGTTGGACCACCCCAGAAAATGGCCATCCAGGTGCCTGAACAAAGGGAAACAACTCCATTTGCTTGAGTCCCCCAAATACCAACCATCAGTTTGGGGCCATATATCATCACATATCCCCATGTTGATGGGTCTAAGGATCACCCAAGCAAAAGGCGCCTCAATCGTTAAACGCGGGCCCCTCTCAAAGTGGCCGCTTATCCAAACCAACCTGGAAACCCCTTGCTTAAAAATGTTCAAACTGTGGATGGACCGCGCCAGGCTTCAGGCACCGGAGATGGAGAAAACTCTATTCTGGGAAAAACCTACCTAGAAGCACGAGATTGCAGCAGCTTGTCCATGCACAGTATTGCAGCCTTGTTTACTTGATGGATTGCACCAGCTTCTACACCCAGTCGAGACAGCATTGCAAACCAGCTACACCAACTTTCTGGTGCTGGCACAGGAGCAAACTCCTGTTTCTTGACGTTGACGCCTTGGTCCGTTTTGTGACCGCGAGCAAATGACAACCGTCAACTGTCAGAAGGTGCCAGGAAGCTCACATGAGCAAGCGGCCATCGTAAGCTGGCGTGAAAAATCAAACGGGTTGGGTGCTCAGGCAAAGCGCGCTAAACAAGCCCGAAGACAGGACCAAAGACTGAACAAAAAAAACGATGACAGGAGCTTGCAATGATTTCCTGAAGACATGCGGGGGGGGGAGTTCCAATTCTTTTCCTTTAGGTTCCTGACTCCTGCCTCAGCCGTTGCTCCAGACCAACAGTGACATTGGATCCTGCTCCATGTCAACATGTAAAGTTTCGCAGGGTGCCTCCGAGAAAAAACAGGCCAATGGCCCCATCTACTCTGAAACCAACAGCTATAGGTAAAAAGAAGGGCACCTTTTGTGACACTTGAAATGACTCCCCCCCAAAAAAAGAAACAACAACAGAGAGTGAAACACTTGGAACACACCACCAGGCCTGCGTTAAGTCTTGCGTTCGAGAGGTCCCGGAGGTGTCAAAGCGTGCGGGGTATGTGTGAACCTACGATCCCCAAAAATGTTGGGGCCACCCGGCCGGATCGAATCCTGCGCCCTCCACTGAACCCACTCCGCGTGATTTTTGCCAGCCCCGCGAGCTACGTTTCGCCGGTTTGCCGTTTGGCCCTGTGGTTGGAACATAGAGGGAACCACGGGACCCCCCAGAAGAATCCAACTCCTTCAGGGCGTCCCTGAACATGTTTCCCTCCCTCACCTCCAATCAACTTGAGGAGCCACAAAAGGCCGAACCCCAAAACACAGAGGTTTCTTGGTACCTTCTGAGGAGGTACCAAACGACGCCCTTTTTGCCCCCCCGAAAGCCATCCTCATGAGGGTAATTCCTTGGACCCTCTGGGAAAGGATAGATAAAGTCCAGTCACCCCAACTTGTTTGCCAGAACTCGAGGACTGAGCTGCCTCCAGCTGTTTGGAGGCATAGAGGAGGGCTACGCCGCCGCCGGGCCTCGACTCCAGGGAGTGATGGCAAACCACCCCCAAGGGGACTAAGGGGGAGAGGTGTTCTACCTTACAGCTTTTCTTGTATGTAATGAATCTGTGTATTGCGCAGAAATCACTGTAGTATAATGTTAAAATGTATGTAGAATGGAATAATATTTATAATGCATAACTCAGTATGTAAACATATGTATAAATTACATTGTCAACATGTTGTATTAAGTATCCCAAGGTATTTCAGTAAGTCGCCCCAGGTGAAAATGCGGTGTCTTCCGCAGTTGAATACACGACTATTCCCTGAGAATGGTGGATCGGTTTGGCCCTTCCAAGAACCGCCAGGTTGTTACCCGGAAAACTGACTCAGGACAGCCTTGGGACCATTCGCCATAGACCCTATAAGAAAAGCTTTTGAATGGAGACCCAGTGCAAGGCGGTGACCCTTTCAGAAGCCCTATGGAAAGAAAGGCTCTTGAATGGACACTCAGTCTTCCAAAAAAGGGGGCTGTTGAATGAACCCCCCAAAACAGGTCGACACTTCCAGTCTCGGGGGATTCCAAGATCCGCTGCTCTCTGGTCATGCGATGTAGTCCCTCTTTCTACTTAAAGGAGCAGAGTACTTAGTAAGTGGTTAGTAGGCCTGGTTATAACCCACTTTGGATACTTGTTGCCATGATAAGTGGGAGCGGTCAAGACGGGGTCCAACATGTCAAGGTAATGTTAGACGGTTTGAAACACCACCTATGAATATGGGACCCGGTGTGTTTGGTTTTAGTAGGGGTTCATCACTTCTGAAGAGTAAAAACCCAAATTAAGCGGGGGAATCACTATTAATCCAGGGTCGACATGACTTGGACTTACTTGGGTGTTCGGCCAAGTTAGTAAGTGGTTAGCCATTTGGGTATAACCCCCTTGTAACAAGGTTCACCCCACATTCACGGGACATTTATCGGTGGGCTGTAGCCTAGGTTGCCAACAACTTGCTACCTTGGCAAATCGAACACCCAAGTAGGATTGAGAAAAGATCTGCGGATCTCACTCGCGTGAAATCCGAATAACTGGGCTTCCGCGCACGATCCCCTCCTCCACTGCCGCCCGGGTGGCGTTCAAGGCGTCGTTCAGGCGGTCCTCGGTGACATTTTTTCTGTTTAAAATGGAGCGTTTGTAAGAAACAAAGTCCAGGAAATCTGCAGGAAGTTCGCCGAATTCCCAGAAACAACCAGGGATTTGGTTCATTTCCCAGAACTTGTCCTGGTTTCCTAGTCGCCAACTTCAGAGTTTCCATGTTTTTCTCTACTGGAAAGTCACAAAGGCGACCAAAATGTTTGCAAGACCCGATCTTCTTTTGAGGCTTGGTACTTTAAACAAAAATGGATGGTTTTAGGGAAACCAAACGGCCAACCATTTTAGGCTGGGCTGTTCCCAGATGAAAATTCTAATTTTTTAAGGGCATGGCTGGGAACCGCCAAGTAATTACAGGGTACCCCGGGGCCCTTTTTGTTGGTTTAGGGAAACCACATGGGCCCCTTCTCAGGCTTATGTTTGAGAAACACCCCTGTTCTTATGAACCCTTACTTTCATAATATTTGGTACCCTCTTTCCCGCACACATGGCACCTGACAGGGGGTCCCAAGAGGTGCCTTCAGTTCGTGGGAGAAAGAACCCCCAAGCTTGCGGGAGGAAGGTCTCACGGGCTTGGAAGATTTTCAGACAGCCAAGTAATCCTTTTCGGGCCCTTATTTGGGTGTGTTTTTGTTTCGTTAAACTGTTGCCTCTTTGGTGAACATCAACAATTCCGTGGGGAATGAACCTGGGGATTCCCTTGAAGGAAACCACGAGGGATGGTTTGTAGGGTTCATTCCCTCATTCCCTGGTGAGCACCAGCAAGATTTGTCTCGAAGAACCTGTTTTTTGACGGGTTCCGACCATGGAAATTCGTACCTGGAGTTTCTGACCCTTTCATGGGTCCATGACCGATTTATTTTGGGTAATGTCCAACCATTTTGAAAGGGCCAGAAGAAGATCCAGGTCCTCCAGTAGAGAGGTTAGAATAAGGACACCCTTTTTTCTACGTAGTCTATTTTAGTAGGGTGACCCCCAAAAAAGGGGTGAACATGGGCACTACTGGGAGAGACCCGGAGACTCCAGGTAGCCGTTTTCAGGAGCCAACGGAGTGAGATGGACTGATACCGCGGTACTTGTTGGCTCAGGGAGCCGATCTGTTTGGCGCTCGGCGCTGAAATTGAAGAGCGGAAGACCCAAGTTTAAAAATAACCCTTTTTGCACATGCCCTGAGGGTCCAAGTACCTGAGCAGGTACTGAACGACCCCTTTTAACCCCCCAAAAGCCATCCTCATGAGGCACCAAGGGACCCTCTGGGCATGGGGCTGATCAATATTCAAAAGGACCACAGGTACCTTTTTCCATTTACTGGGGCATGTCGTCATCTTTTTGCGGGGGTCCCAACCAATGGCCATCCCAGGACTGCCCGGCGCAAGCGCCTCACTATGCCTGGTCCAAGTGGGAGCTCGTCGTGTTTTTCGGGAATCCGGCACCCCCAAAAAGTGGTGGCAGTTGTGTGTTGGTCTCCCTGACCACCTCAACAAAAAAGACAGACCCAAGTACTGAGGATACCTTTCGGGGAGAAGGAAACACGGGTCAAAGTAGTTCAGAGGGCAGGGTTATAGCCAACTTACCATTGTTATCAGTCTAAGTGGTTCTTGCCATGGGTACTAACAACGTATTAAGTCCTTTAAGAACCTCCTTGGAAGGAACCAAGAGCTATGGGCTAGCCCACCCGTCCTTCACTTCAGACACCTCCACTTCAGAGGCTCCGCCCACCTGAGGGGGGCGTGTGGAACATGATTGGTCGCGTCGGGCGCAGAATAACCCATGAGGAGCTGTCAGTCGGCTGGAAAACCATTTTGCTTTCAAGCAAGATGATTTATCGGCCGTAGGCTTCCAAGCATCTCTCAGGCGCGGTCAAAGCAAAAGTATCGTGGATGGATTCGCAAAATCCACTTGGCGCCACCGTTCAGAAACCCTGGTTTATGATTCGAAATCCCTGTGAATACACCAACAGCGTTGTCTTTTCATTCCCATGGCGTCATTTCGTGGTGCGAGAAGTGAATTGTGTAACCATCCCACCGGGGACATACCAATAGACATCTGAAGCAAATGGAAGCAACAATGCAAGCCCAGCCGATTGATGGGACATTCCGATTCAGATAGATCACCTACCAACGATTGTCTCTTGCTTAACTCAGGCCCCGATGGGCTTTGTATAGTGCCTGGAGATTCCAATCAGGAGTTCATCCATTTCTTCGTGAGTTCCATTTCCACACTCAGGCCTGCCCCTTTTGACCAGGACCAACACTGGAACGGGAACCACTCAAAGTGAAGCATGCCCAGAAGAGAGCCCCCACCTTGAAACCCCCATCATTGGTCGGCCAATGAACCACCCAGACTCAAAGTGAAGATGCATGCTACGTCCGGAAGAGAGCCCCACCTTGCACCATTTAGTCGGCTATGGCACGTGCTGAAATCGTCCGCCTTTTGGGAGTCCAACAAATAAGACTCCGTTGGAAGTTAGGCCATAGACCCCTTGAATCCTAGAAACTATGGGGACCCATCCCCCTCAAAGCAGGAAGCTGTGGCGCTAGGTCCTGTAGAGAGGTTGGGCTAAGGGTACCAACTTTTTCTTGTAGTCTATTTTAGCAGGGGAACCCTCCCAGCCAAAAAAGAAACGGTAAAAGGGCACTACTCGGGGACCTAGTATGGGGACCGAGCCCCATGAAGCCTTAAAGGTTCTCCTGTGACGTCTCTTAGGCTGATCCGTGATACCCATGGCGTGTCGATGTTACGGGCAATCCGTTTCCCGGGCCTTGGGCCAGACGTGAAATCGAGCTTGCCACATTCACAACATGCCATTCATCCTCGGTCCTGGACAAACCCCAGCGCATTAAAGCAGTCTCCATTAAAGTGGGTGTAAAGGAGTAACTCACTCCCGAGTGGATGGGCGACCCAAATCTGATCTTGTTTGCTGCCAAAATGGTCCCAACAAGTTTCAAGTCCAGGAACTCAGGGAGTGAGCCAAACGTAAACTTTCGGGAAGGTCCCTTTAAAGACCGTCTTGAATGAAAGCAGCAAAACATCATTGTTACTTGGATTGTAATTTTGAGAACCCCGAGGGAATCTAACGCACAAAATCCTCACTTTCAAGGATTCTAAGGATATTTTGAGAGGATTCAACCATAGTACACTTTGAAGTTATGGGAGTCCAACTCAACACCTTGTGATGTAAAGAGCCTGGGGCCCCAATCGCTGCCCAGCTTGCGAACCTTCAAGGATATCCAACTCCTAATATTCACGCAGCAAAATGTTGTCTTTTCTTGGGCAACCCCGAAAATGGCTTTGGCTTTCCTTCTCGCAAAGGGTCCAAGTACTTCATGAGGGTGGCTTTTGGGGGGTAAGAAGAGGTCTAAGTGCCTCCTCAGAAGGTACCAAGGGACCCTCTAGGTTGGGCTACCCCGAAAGTGGCTTCGGTCTCCTTCCGCTTTCCCTTGAAAACACGAGGTCCTCCAGACTTGGAGGTTAGAATAAGTTGGCACCAACTTGTGCCTGTCTATTTTAGTAGGGAACCCTCCCAAAAGGGGAGCGCACCTCGGGCACTGAGAGCCTTCCGCGCCTTGATGACGGCAACGCCCCCGGAGAGCTTGGCGAGACGCTCCTTGAGCCTTAGCTGGTACCGGCTTTCCTGCCCATTTGAAAAAATAAGTTGGGGGATGAGGTGTCGTAGATCTGGAATGTCATTTATTGGGCCCAGAAAGTCCAACTTGGTACCTTCTGAGGATGGCTTTACTTTTTGGATTTTGAACCAGTTCTTAGGTGCGCGCACTGGCCCCATTACTTCACCACTATCAAAGTCACCCCTCCAGAGGAGCCAAGTGCCTTTGGAGGAGGCATTGAACGACCCCTTTTTACCTTACAAAAATCATCCTCATGAAGCACTTGGACCCTCTAAACTGGGAACAGGGCGGGGGCGACCCTGAAAAATGGCCACCAGTGCACGGGAAGACGAGGAAATTACGGACCTACGCGAAAATATCTACCTGGACCCCTCATTCTGCCAAAATTATGGGGCAATAACACTTTTTTAGGGGAACTGTGAGGGTCCAGGTGCTCTCCTGTCACGAAAACGGAAGAACATTGCCCCGTTTACAGGAACATTGACAGGAACAAACCAGGACCCCGAAACGTCAGGTTCCATGTTAGTGGGTGGAATGATTAAAGGGTTAAAAGTTGAAGAGCCCCTTCCAATTCCTAAACAAAGCTGAAAAGAGTTCCCTCAAAAACTGGACCTACGAAACCCCAAAAGTCCATAACCTTCAAAACACGTCCAAAATCCAAATGGAACGGTTGTTGGCTTCCAGTGGGATTTGGGCGAGACCGCATCCCCCCACGTAGAAGGGACCACCTATCGGGGTAAGCAGAGGCCACTGGATTTCATTTAAACGGTCACTTTTTTGAGGTTCCAAACAAGGAAACTGAGGAAAACCTGCCACCCGGTACATGCGATCGGTATGCGAAACATGTTGACCCCAGATCTAAGTAGATCCCGTCCTATTCGTCGAGGGAGGGGAGCCGATGCCCTCCAAATGTGGTCCAGCTGCAGCAACTAGAATCTAACCGCTTTTTGTTGTTTTATTTCTTGCAGTGCATTGGGGCCATCTCTTGCTGGGGCTAGATGTCACCGTAGCCATTGTGGCACTGGGGCCACCTCTTGCTGGAGCTAGATGTCACCGTAGCCATTTTGGCTCAAAGTACAGATCAGGCCTTGGCTTCACAGCCGGCCTCCTTTCGTCAATTTGCTGCGGCTTTTTGTTGTCTTACTCCTTGCAGCGCACTGGAGCAACCTCTTGCTAAGCATAGATATCAATCACCGTAGCCATTTTGGCTCAAGGTATAGACCAGGCCTTGGCTTCACAGCCGGCCTCTTTTAATCAATTGCTGCTAGATGTCACCGTAGCCATTTTGGGTCAAGGTGCCAGTCAGGCCTTGGCTTCACAGCCGGCCTTTCGCCAATCTGCTTGTTGTTGTCTTACTCCTTGCAGCGCACTGCCACCTCTCGCTGGAGCTAGATGTCACCGTAGCCATTTTGGCTCAAGGTAGAGATCATGCCTTGCCTTCGCAGCCGGCCTCTTTTTTGGTCAACAGATGCCGCTTTGTGTTGTCTTACCCTTTTGCTGGAGCTAGATGTCACCGTAGCCATTTTGGCTCAATTACACATCGGGCCTTGGCTTCCCAACTTCCCAACTGGCCTCTTTTAATCAATTGCTTCTGCGTTTTGTTGTCTTACTCATTGCAGCGCACTGGGGCCACCTCTTGCTGGAGCTAGATGTCACCGTAGCCCTTGTGGCAAACCGGCAACCACAGCGAAGCCCGATGCAGCAGCCACATTGGCCCCACCTCGGCCACCGCGGCCCAGGTAATGCAGCGGCCACAATGGCCCCACCCGCCACGGCAGCCCAAGCCTTCGGTTCGTAGCCGGCTTCTTTTAATCAATTGCTGCCTCTTTTCGTCCATTACTCTTTGCAGCGCACTGGGGCCACCTCTTGCTGGAGTTAGGGCCACCTCTTGCTAGGGCTAGACGTCACCATAGCCAGTCTTGCTCAAGGTGCAGAGCAGGCGCTTTTTGTTGTCTTACTCCTTGCAGCGCACTGGGGCCACCTCTTGCTGCCGTGGCCATTTTGGCTCAAGGCACATCAAGCCTTGGCTTCCCCGGTCGGCCCTTTTTCGTCAATTGCTGCTGCTTTTTGTTGTCTTGCCCCTTGCAGCGCACTGGGCCCACCTCTTGCTGGAGCTAGATGTCACCGTAGCCATTTTGGCTCAAGGTACAGATCAGGCCTTGGCTTCCCAGCCGGCATCTTTTTGTCAATTGCTGCTGCTTCTTGTTGTCTTGCTCCTTGCAGCGCACACCTCTTGCTGGAGCTAGATGTCATCGTAGCAATTTTGGGTCAAGCTGCAGATCAGGCTTCGGCTTGGTGCAGCGGAAACCTGATCCGGCGGGAGATTTGTGCAGTGCTCTTAGACCATTCAGTTCCATGATTGCGCGAAAAAGGGAAGCCGCAGAATCCTTTAGTTTCCCCTTTAAACCCCGAACTCAGCTTCTCATAACAATCATGCTTCAATTCTGAATACCCCTTCCTCAAGGCACCTGTATTCTTGAAAGGGCAATTTCCTCTTGAAGCGCTTGTCAAGCACCATCCCAGAGGGTCCAAGGAGATACTCAACGACCCCGTTTTACCCCCCACCGGGCTCATGACCCCTGTATTTTGGGTACTGACCCTATTCTTAAAGGGTCGAAGGAGACTCCAGGGATGGCAACTGGGGGCAACCCGTGGTTTTTGGACACCCAACTGCTGGGCCCCCCGCTTGTCGCGCTCCCACTCCGAGCTGGTGCCCTCGAAACCAAATATTTCTTTGGGGGGAAGGCTTTTGGAGCAGCCGGGAAAGGGGGGGGGGCGAAATGGGTCGAGGGGAGTGCTGGCACCACTTGTTGTTGATTAAACCTAGAGGGTCCAAGTACCCAAAAAGTCCCTGTCAGGGACGCAAGCCGACAGGCCGATCTTCTTTTTGGACCTTCTCACCGTTTCAAAGGCACGCCTGTCAACCCGGAAGAATCATGCCTATAGTGGATGTTGATTCATGAGGTTCCCTCAACGAAAGCCTCTGAAAAAAGAGCCACCCTGATTTACTACTGATCAACTAGGGGGGTTGTTACCTGTTCAAATGGGTTCCTCTATGTCGGGCCGAGATCAACATCAACTGGTTGCTTATTCCTCGGACAATGATCGCGACTTGCCCCTCTATTTGCGCGGGGAAAATGGTCCCCAAACTTGCCAAACAGGGATCCATGACCCCTGTATTTTGGGTCATGACCCCATTTTTTAAGGGTCAGAAGAAGACAGGCATTTTTTACGAGGTACTTAGACCCCCAAAAGCCATCCTCATGAGGTACTTGGACCCTCTGAAAAAGTTTGCAACTTGGGTGTTTGGGCACGTGGCTAAGAAAAAATACTGACCTGCGAGCCCCCTATCAGGGCTTGGTATGAAGGACCCGATCAGGTCCGCCCCCGAGCTCTCTGGGGCATCAAAAGAACCGATTTGTGGTTCCTGGAGTCTCCGTGACCCCTAAAAAATTGCGTCATTCCCCAAACTCGTGGGGTCATGAACCCTTTTTAAAGGGTCACGGAGAGTCTAGGTACTCAATTTTGAAGGGACTTAGGTTTTCCTTTGGTTCTCCTTTAAACCAACCTGAAAAGGGCCGAGCATCAAGCCGAGATCTTCCCAAAAGCAAACTTTGTTGAAACCTTGCACGACCGAGTGCCACACCGAACTACTCCAAAAAGCCTATTTGTCTAGGGGTACCTTCCATTTCCATTCTTTCTAGGGATCCTTCTTTTTAAAAATCCAAGGGAAAACGGCGATCGGTTTTTGAAAAGAACGATGGTTGAAAAGAATGGAAAAGGAGTCAACCCCTAGAATTTGGGTCTGATAGTCAATTGGACGCTTTGGTGGACATCATGCGCATTTGGTCCACCGACCATTTCTCGTGCGCGTGTTCCCCATCAACAAAGTCACAGCCATTTGGGCAAAGATCCAAATGGATGCGGGATTCGGAAACACACACCCCACCCAAAAAGCACGAAGTTGGGGGGATTCGGAAACACACACCCCACCCAACAAGCACGAAAGCAACCGCACAGCAAAAGGAAAAGCAAAACTTGGTTGGCGTTGGAAGGGGAGCAACAATAATAATAGCAGTTAAGTGGGGATTTCCCATGCCACAAGAAGCAAACATGTAAAATGTTTCCTAAAGTCTCCATGACCCCTTAATTTTGGGTAATGACCAACCCTTTTTTAAGGGTCAGAAGGAGACTCCAGGTCCCAACGACAACCCATGAAAACACAGCAAGCTCAACGTGCATGGCCCGGTCTGAGAACCCCCCCCCCCCGTTCCAGGCCCCCCTTCCCATGTGCCGCCTCGACAGCCGCCTGGATCTGCTCGCAGCGCGCCTGGATCTCTGCCTGGATCCAAATGGGTCCAAGGGGTGGGGTGATGGGTGGGTGGTGGGGGTGGTGGGGGTGGTGGGGGTGGTGGGGGTGGTGGGGGTGGTGGGGGTGGTAGGTGGGGTGGGGTGGGGTGGGGTGGGGTGGGGTGGGGGGTGGGGGGGGTGTTGGGTGGGTGGTGGGGGTGGTGGGGGTGGTGGGGGTGGTGGGGGTGGTGGGGGTGGTGGGGGTGGTGGGGGTGGTGGGGGTGGTGGGTGGGGTGGGGTGAAGTGGGGTGGGGTGGAGTGGGGCGGTGGGGAGTGGGGGGGGGGTGGTGGTGGGGGTGGGGTGTTGGGTGGGGTGGACAGTTTGTCGAATTGGTTTGTCTCAAAAGGGGTCATTACCCAAAATTAAGGAGTCATGGACCCATTTTTTAAGGGTCATGGGGACTCTAGGTACTCCAAAAATATTTAGTGTTCCTGCGACTTCCCTTCATCAAAACGATAAATCCAACCCGCTAGCACCCAAGATAGGTTCCTACTTGCCCAGTGACAGGGGAAATCAGCACACCTTGTGCCGGTCTGTCGGTCTGGACACCATTTTGCGGCCTTAAGCCCAGACTTGTGGCTTGCCCATGTCCAATGAGGTCCAAGTCCTGCGTGGGGAAAAGCACACCCCTACTTAGATGGTCTGGGGGTTGGCTAAATGGCTAGTAATTCTTGTTCGTGGTCCAAAACGACACAGGCTTGGGCCACCAAAGCAGTCCGCTGCCGCCTGACCGCCGCTGCCGTCCAGGATGACCGTGTCGTCCTGGCCGAATTTGCGGGTGTTTGGCAGTGACTCGCCAGTTCTCATTCTAGGTGACTCGCCAGTCTTGGCTTGTTGCTTTTTTTTCTCAATCAAATGTATACACCCATGGATGAGCCCATGAAGCCCTAGTTTGTGGGTTACCCAGAGGGTCCCTTGCTACCTGAGGAGGTACTTCCCCTTTTGACCCCCAAAAGCCATCCTCATGAGGTACCAAGGGACCCTCTGGGTATAGGTGACTCGCCAGGTTTGCTTTGGTTCTTGAAATCAAATGTATACGCCCATATATGAACCCATGAATCCCTAGTTTGTGGGTTAGTTGCCCGTTATTTATTTATGATGACGAGACATCTGCCCACAGAGGGTGCAACAAAAAGCCACGGGTTCATCTTTGGACCTATACATTCCGCCTTTGATTGAAGTGTGGCAAGACCCGTTTAACTATACAGGGAAATGGAGTTGCTGGGCACTCCAAACAGAACAAAGGGGCACTCCAGGTGTTGGAACTCCAGCTGAAGCATCTGGCGAAGGTTGCAGGAATTTGTTTGCCCCTATATGCCCCTACAGACAAGGGTCAACAGATGTTCTACCCAAACGAGTGCAACAATAAATTGGCCACAGATCCGCTGGAAAACAAAACAAATCCGGAAGTTAAACTAAATTTCTACTCAAACGCATGTCGATCATCTGTTCCCTGGTGCTCAGTAAGGAATGACCTGGCTGTTGGGAATGAACCAGGGGATTGATTAAGCCACCAACAGAATGGTTCTCGTCAGGGTCATTCCAATTGCCATGCCTATCGGACCAGCCAGCTAAAATTGGGGGGGGGGGAGGTGAATCAACACTACTGCTCATAGGGGGGAAGCCCTTGATTCTTTCCAAGGTCGAAACAGGGCTCTTGCCATCTAAGATTTGCAGTACCACTAAACCGACTTTCCCAGACGGTCCAAGTACCTCATGAGCATGGCTTTTGGGGGGTAAAAACGGCCTTACTTGGACCCTCTGTTAAAAAACAACAAAGAACTTGTCTGGATCCGGATGGCTGGTTCCGAACCGGAAAGCACCAAGCTGGGAGGGAACCCAGCGGTTTCTCCTTGGTCACTTCGATGGTCTTGGCACTGCCCAAGACCTCCGGGTCGAAGGCGTCGTCCAGCTTACGGCCCGTCTCCTGACCGCCGGCCGAGCAGCAACCCGCTCAGCCCCTTCATTGAACACCCCGGCAGTGTTTGTTTGGGGTCGCAAAACCTCTGGGCCCTCGGAAAAAATCGAACAAAAATGGCTCCGGAACCTAAGGACAAAACACAAGCACACAAGCACACAAGCACACAAGCACACAAGCATACAAAGACACAAAGACACAAAGACAACACACACACACACACACACTTGGGGCTAAATAAGAAGGACCAGCCCAAATCTCAATCCCACTTGCTCGGTTGTGCGTTTGGCTTCCCTAAGCAAATTAAAAAGAGTACCGAGGCTCAAAGTTGGGCCTTGCTTCTTGTAAAGCTGGCAGCATGAGGTTGCCGTACTCGACGCAGCAGTCTTCGTAGCAGCATGATACTGCGGATGGACGAAATCCTGCACCACCCAAGGAACCCTAGAATGATGATTCCCCTATAAATACCAACAAACAATGGTTTCCCATGGTTTCAAGGTGGTGTGAAACGGATTTCGTCCATCCACAGTACTACTGCCTCGTTCGGCGTTTCGCACTGGCGCGTGTAGTGCAAGAGCTTCTCTTCTGTGAGCACACCGCAGCGTCTCCGCTTTCGCTGTGCCCACTGTCCAGGGTGTGGAGCATGAGTAGTTCAAAGTCTATAGGTTTCGGGCGCTGCTCAAATGGATTTCGGTCTTAGGGCCGCGGAAGCAGCTTTTTTTGAAGCATAGAATTGGGAATCAGTTAGAGAGTCAAAAAAAAAAAAACAGGGGGCACCACGGCAGCGGCCTAAATCAACATGTCCGCGCTCGCCGGAGGACATGTGTTATTTTTTGCGCCAAGGTTTTGCGCCAACATGAGACTTGAAGCTCGGGATCTCTGGGAGCCGGAAAGGACACCCAACAAGTCCTCTGGGCGTGGCTCTGAGTCCTAGAAACCTAAAGGACGTATTCCGGTCAACATGACCTGATCAATCTAGCGACACCTTCCCCACTTTCGAGAACCCCCCCCAAAAAAAGAGAGAACGAAGCCATCTCGGGAAAAAGCGGCCGGATTTTTTCGGCAAACACGACCATGAACAAGGTGCTGTCAACAAGGCTCTCGGGTGGTCTAATATATCCACACACATCGCTCACTGCCCTCATCTGCCTCTTTTCCATATTCACGTATGCCGGAACGAGTCTTGGGTATTCAATGCTACACATGATACCCTGACCCGCTGGCCCTGAGCATCGCATCATCGAACATTACTCCCTCCCCTAGTCAACTCAAGGAGTTCAGATACGAAGCGCCAAAACTGTGACATGAAGGAATGAAAAGGATACAATCATCACGCACACATGATGGCCAAAACAGATTTTAAGCCCAATCCGTATATTAAATGTCGCACTAACCCAACCTGATGCCTATAAAATGTCCATAAGGCACCCCCACCAACACCCTAAATACAATTGAAAGAACACAAGAGACATGTGTCATATGGCCTCTACACAATGGCGAATTTCTATCTCATTTGCAAGGCCCAGAAACGGTCCTCTAAAACTCTACAACATCTGTGTACGACACCTGAGGCGTGACCCATGCACCTGTTCTCTATTGACAACCACGCGCGCTTATAATTAGGCAACCTTACCCATGTTTGCAGCGGAAATGACCGAATGTTAGCCCCATATTCATCAACCCCAGCTTATCAATATGAGGGTGTTCACCCCCCATATTAATAAACAGGGGGTTATTAATCCGGTTGTCAAGATTACCTGATCAATCTAGCGGTACCTTCCCCATTTTTTCCAGGAAACCTTCTTTCGAGAACCCCCCCCACAAAAAAAAATAACACAATCTCGGGAAAACGGCTTGTTTTCGGCAAAAACAACAATGAAAAAGGAATCAACCCCTTAGATCTGCCCTAGAATCAATTAGGTCCTCCAGTCGAGAGGTTCGAATAAGGGTAGGTACCCTTTTTTCTGTAGACTATTTTAGTAGGGGAACCCTCTCAACCCAAAAATGGGGTGAGAAAGGGCACCTAGCTGAAAAAAACTAGAATCAAAACATGAGACCATCGCCGCTTAAAAGGCGACCGGTAGATGATGAAACCACCCGGTAAACCAGGAATGCTCGAAACCACCAAAAAGCACACCTACTTAGATGGTCTGGGACGAATCGCTCAATGGCTAGTAACCCTGGCTACAGGGGACTTACAACCATTGCTTTGGTGGGTTCCAACCCTATGCGCGCAAACGAGTTCTCCGGGTGAAAAGCCACGCCGGTCAACGCGCCCGGGCCTCGCTGAGCAGCTCAGCCCCGGTGAGCACCGCGAGGTCCTCGCGAGAAGCAGCCGCTGCCAAGGCGTGTGGGGAAAAGGGACGCCGCCTTTCCAAATCAAAACCGCCTTCCGAGTCGTGAGTGGGAAAAAACCCCGTAGCGGTAGCCTGCACCTGCCCCACCCCGACTTTTACGGCGTGGAGGCGGACTGAAGAAATTGGATGGGTCCATGACCCCTCCTCTTTTGGGTAATTTACCCACATTTTTTAAGGGGCCATGGAGACTCAAGGTACTGAAGTCCCATGTATTCAGAATCTTCCAGGAATAGCCTCCTTTTCAAACCAGCATGGAAATAACACATGGTCTGACACGCAGATGGGGTCAGAACCAGCACCTGTGCGCTCTTTTAGCTGGTCGGGACCCGCACCCATGGCTAGGAGTGTCCCTTAGCTCCAATTCTCCGGGCTTTGAGTTCGACTCAAGCGATGGGTTCCTTTGGTCAATATGGGTGTGTCTTCTGTTCGTGGTACCTTGGTTTAAAGGAAAACCACAAAAAAAATGGTACTTGGATGCCGAGTCAGCAAGTGATGAGCCAAATGGGGTGTTTCACACCGTAATAATCTGGTTACCCCCAAAACAGGGGAACTGAAGTGGGTGACAACCTTTCCCAACAACTTCCTAACTTCCAATCGAACACCCAAACTAAAAACCTGCTGAACTGGGTTGCTTTCCAAAGAAAGCTGCCACTGTTGACTTGTGCGTATTCGAAGGCATGGGGCACTCGGATTTTCGGTTGTAATGAGACGTTGCAAGGTTCTGTATCTCTCTTGGGGGTAGCTTTCTCTTGATATATTCCCATATCCTCCAAAAACCTTTGGCTCACCTATCCAGTGGATTGCCCAAAGCCAAGTAGCCAAACTTTCAAATGGTCACCCAACGACTTATCCACCATTGTAATTACTCAGCTCCAACTTCAACCAAAATTAAAGTTCTTAACTCACGCCAGGGCCCTGGGCTGTCCTCAGATCCCCCGCAAGTGAATCAATGTCACTGGCTTAAATCTGGAAACCCCACCACTAAATACCCAACGAAAAAGATCAGCGCTAAGTTGAGCCGGATGGTAAAGGCTTCCTTGGTACCTAACGAGGTACTTCGACCGACCCCCCAAAAGGCCAAAAGCCCTCCGCAGGAGGTAATTCCTTGGACCCTCTGATGGCCGGGAACTGGCCGAGTCCCTCCTGCAGCATGGCCTTCCGCTGGTCTCCGAAGCCCGGGGCCTCCGCATCGGGGCGATGCCGAGAGAGTAGCCCGAAGTGGGGTAGGCGCTCAAAGGGAAGCCAAGAGGAAAACCCCCTGTTTTGGGGGGGTCCCCTAAAAGAGACACACCCAATTCAAGGGAAACCACCAGGCAAACCGTGATTTTTAGTAAAAGTCCGGGACCAAAAACAGAGCCTGTCTATAGTTCTGTTTTGTTGAGGGTCCAACCTTAAAAACACACACAATTCAACTCTGAAAAGAATGATCAAATATGGTGTCAAGGGCAGGGCTAGAGGGACGCCACCATGTGAGGCTGTTCTTTTTTGCCCCCCCCCCCCCCCTCACGCTTAGTTTTCTTAGTGAGAACTGAAAAGGACACCACTAGGATAAAACAGTTTTGCAATGTCGGGATGTCCGATCCCTAAAGAAAACAAACACCCTTCTGGTGCAAAGGGCGGGGCAAACAGTTTACAAACATGTCGCAAAAGGGGAAGATTTGGCTATCGTTATTTTGCTTAATGCTCCCTTGGACATAAGGAGGTACAAAGGGACCCCTTTACCCACCAAATGCAACCAATTCAAAAGCGAGGGTGTCTAATTGATGCTTTTGTTTTTATCACATTCCATTGGAGACTTGGTGAATGACTTATTGCTTTCTACTGGCGCCTAACTCCCATTCACCGGATCTGAGTGACAAGATTAAAGGGCGGCCTCCTGGTTGTGTACTGAACGACTGGGCTACTTGCGCAATCGGCTATGGAATTCTCACAATCTGGGCTGATTCAATCCGGTTTCGCTTTAAACAACTTCCCCAACACATGTTCTCGGCTTACACTTAATTCGAACCACCAAGAAAAAAAACAAGCCCACCCAAAGCTGGCATATACGGCGAATGATTTACGTACTTGAGGCAACCAGCTACTGAACACAATTGGCAAGTAACGCTAGACATACTGCGGATGGACACCACCTTCGAAACCCTGAAAAGGTGGTGTTCCCCTGTAAATACCAACGAGCAATGATTTCCCACGGCGTTTCCGTGGTGTAGGAATTTGTCCATCCACAGTATCCCACTTAGGGGCTACTTGTACAGAGACAAGAAATCAGAGAGTACTTCAGGAGGAGAAGGAACCAAGTTGTCCGGATTCCTACCTTGTTTATCCCAAGACTCCTATGCTCCAGTACCACCAACTTTAATTTGCATGGAATGGGAGGGTGATCCGAGATTGGGACATTTGGGGCGCTCAATGGCGCTCAACAGAGACCAAAGGAAGAAAAAGCCAAGCGTTCGGGCGGTCTCCTAGTATACAGAAAAACACCTAGGAACTACATCCAGCCCAATACAGGATTCTCTATGAGCTCTATGAGAGGAACTTTCATGGATATGGTCGCAAGAGCTCGCCAAATCAATTGCAGAGAGTGGACCATGTCTGGGATCCAGTTTGGATAGTTCCCAGAACCCTCCAGGGTTAGGTATCCCTTGAACAAAAAGGATCTCAAAATGACCCCGAAATCCACCCCAAAACGACTCGCACCTAAAATCGCTAGTGACTTCCGAGGATCCTTTTTTCCAAAGGGTAGCTGGTTTGAAGAGGAGTATGAAACATTACAGCTTCAGGGTTTCTTGGGTGGTGCAGGATTCGTGCATCCACAGTGACACAAGTTCGGTTACGGGTAGGAGGTGTGTGCCTATCGTCTGCATGTGGGTCAGTGCAGGTACGTGGTACGACTCTCCCGAACGCCATCGTCGCTTCGAGACGGAATGTCCCTAGATTTGCACTTCAAACAGTTGCAGTTTACTTCTGGGTTCCCATGAAACTGCCACCTTTGTAGGCTCAGTTGCCCGAGTTTTGGACCCAGAAATGAAAGATTACCTTTTGGGGCCGCTGAAAAAGGGAACCCGCAGAAGGTGCAATATGTTTTTGCTGGGTGCCTTCAAAACAGATGGGAAACCCGAAAAGCCGCTTCCAATTTACTGCTGGATGCCTTCCAAAGCATGGGGAAACCCACCAAACAAAACCGCTCAGATGCCATCGATTCGCATCAAAACCAAAAAAAAAACAGAGTCGGCCTTCACGGCGCAGATTTGCAGGCCCCCGCGGAGCTTGTTCACCACCAACGTGGCAAGCGCCTGAAAGAAGGGAGAAGTAGCCTCACTTCTGATCAAGTGCCGTGGCCAAAAACAGCAACCAAACTACTTCCTGAGTGGATTGGCCAAAAACGGTAACCACACGTTTTTGTTCCACTAAAATGGTCTTCCCAAAAAAGCTTCTGCAGTCCGAAACGGAACTCAGGAGAGTGCTCCCTGGAAAGGAAAGCAAGGTGAAATTGAACCCAACATGCTTCTGTGAGACACACACACACAACCACACACACACACACACATAGTTCAATGGAAAAACCAAGCACATCAGGGAACCGCTGGTCAACAAACCAACTCTGAACCAAACACGGAGTTCCCAAGCTAAGGACTTTCATGCTCGGCTAAATTATCAATGCCGGGGTGGATTAGAGGGGATTGATCGCAAAATGACCCTAGAGCATGTGTTCGGGGTGTTCTGCATTCTTGGTGGGGAAGGAAGGAAGGAATCACTGAACAACTGGAAGTGTGGGTTCCCAACACAAAATCGTCAGCGCAGTGAAAATTTATAATAGAATGTTACTTCCTCAGATTCTGATGCGGACTCTTTCTCAAATGGGTCGCTGCTTCCTATTCATCAACCAGAGGTTTATTGACTCGTACCATAAGGGGAAGGGGGAATGTAGTCTTTCTCCAAAAAGGGAAAATGGAACCAGAAATTGAAGGTCGATGAGCGCGACTCGGATCAACCCCCTCCCATTTCAGGGTTGAAGTCTTGGGGGCCTAAAAAGCAACCCTTTCTTTGCTAGAACGCAAACAAAACAGCCAGACCTACGCCCAAGTAGAAACGCACACAGCTAAAACAAAAACACGGGGCACCCAGTGCCACAACCAGCCTTTTTTGACCTCAGAACAGAACCTCGGCCCAACCCAGGCTACACGGCCTCTTGCTCCACGTCCTCCGCGATGATCAGCAAAGGCTTTTGGGCCTGGCACTTTTCTCCAAAAAAAAGCGATGTCAGAATCAAAACCTGGATCATGTCGCATGAATCGACCTCAGTGGGTTGATTCTGAGTTTAGTGGTTGGATTCATTGGAGGGGCCCTTAGCTGGGTCAACATTACAGGAGTCTATAGAAAGAGCAATAACTTGGATCCTCACAATTCCAACTTAAAATTGGTTATTGCAACCCAAAATTATGGTTGGACGATTCCCTTTCTATGGGGTTCTGTTGGGTCCAGGAAGAATCAAAAGGGGCGGATATGGGCCTTCCTTTGGTCGTGAAGGCACGGCATTCTGTTGAGAATCTCTTGGGTGAGTCTGTGTCTCCATACGGATGTGAGTTGGTGCCTGTTGTTTAATGGCTTTAAAGGGAAACCAAAGCACAGCCATCATTTTGGCTCGTGATGCTCGTGGGTCCTATATAGCAAGGCGCTATGTTCTGAGAGATGCAGCTGCTTGCACTTGCAGTGTGTCATTTTTTTTGAGGTACCCCCGTTTTGGCGGTTATAAAGGGACACCAAACGAAAAGCACCATGAAGGGTCCTCTAAAGGAAGAAGACCCACATGAAGGAAGTGCAGAAACGACTTGACGTGGTCAGTCTCCAAAAGACGTCCGCTCGTTGAGAAACAGGGTTAAGAAACGGGGGGTTGAAGTCTTATGAGGCTGACCTGCTACACCTTTTAGAACTTAAAATAATGGGACCCATGCGTTCTCTTCTCGGGGTACCGAGTTTTCAACCAGTTGGACCACCCCAAAAAATGCAATCTCGTGCCTCCCAAAAAGAATCGCGACCTCTTGGACCTGTGCGACCGACCCACAAAGGTCCTCGGCAAATGATCAGAAGCTTCACCCAGAATTGTTTGGGGGGTAGCCACCCATCTGGGTGCTAAATAGCCGATATCTTCAAGTGCATTACCAACAAGAAAAGAAAAAGAGGATGGCTAAGCGTATCTGGGCTGTCCTCAGATTCCCTGTGCAGTTTAACTTGTGGGTCAAATGGAAACCCAACCACTAACCCTAAACACCTCCAATAAACAAAATGGCTGGAAACACCTCTAACTCAAGGCAGAGAGGGCTGATCTTCCTATCCTTCGTATTTTCGGGCTGCTTGGCTTTCAAGAGCACCCCGCTTTTGGGGTTGCAACAAAAAGGAATCCTTCCACTTTAAAAGGTCCCTTTTGAGACACACCCATTGTAATGGTTGGGTATTTCGGGGTTCAAACCACAGCAAAAACCATGGTTAGGTTCATATAACTATTGTTTACTTAAACATTGCTACCTACTCTGGACGAAATCCTGTCCTGCACCACTTTGAAACCATGGGAAACCGATATTTACAGGGGAATCATCGTTCCAAGGTTTTCTTAGGAGGTCCGAAATGGATTTCGCAGCCCGCTGTGGCTGGTGAGGGTCAGAGACCTGGGGTTTCACCGCGCGGTTTTCAAGTTTTCGATCCCAGCCAACCTTCATGGCATGCTCCAGCACCGGCAGGATGCTCTGCACCTCGCTTCGGGTTTCGGCGATCCCGGAGGACTCGGAAAATCTCGTGGTTTCGGAAGAGCTGGTCTTCGAGGCGACAATAAAAAGAAATCCTAAGCAAATGAAAGGAATGTGGTAAGCTTTTCAGGTTGGCTTCAAGAGAAACCCAAAGGAACACCGCCATTTGTTGCGTCACATATTTTGATACAACCCCTTTTAGAAAAGGCCGGGTTCCTTTTGTAAAAGCTCGGCGCCCTTCAAAAAGAGATGGTTACTGGGAAATGGCTTTGTCTCACAAGCCAGAAGAACCGCACGCTGATGCGTTTCACTTGGCGCGCTTAGCCCTTGCAGTGAGCCTGGCAAAAACTGCGATCGTTTCTTTTGGGGTTCCGAACTGCTTTTAGTGGGTCCCGAACCCAAGAAAACAAAAATCTATTCGCCAGCTCAAACAGCAAAACTAGAAACACAAGGGGCGGTCGCGCGAGCCGGAGTGCAAGTTGTCCAGTTCAAGCCTGACGCGGTGGATCCCGGCTATGAACGGGCAAGCCCTTTCCTAATAGAGGTACCCCATACTAATTCGCCAGATAGTGCTGGGTTGCAACCCCGTTCTTAAAATGGAATTTGAGGCTCCCCATATAGATGGAACTGCTTGAAAGGGGATTCCATAGGCCTACATGCAGACATCGCTGAAAACCCATTCCCCCGACTCGAGCTCGAAACTCGTTATAAGGCTCGGAAACGACCCTCGAAATCCTGCAAAAAAAGGAAGAAATCGCCCCATTCGTACCGTGTGAGGCAATATATATCTTATTTCTAGATACATATTGTGGATGGACGAAATCCTGCACCACTTTGAAACCATGGGAAACCATAGTTTGTTGGTATTTACAGGGGAATCATCATTCTAGGGTTTCTTGGGTGGTGAAGGATTTTGTCCATCCACTGTATTTTGAGGGCTAGTTCATGCACCACTCAAACCCAGCCGTCCCAAAAGCGGTCGAAGCAGGGCCCAGGCCGTGGAGATCTTCTTGTCGTAGATGAGGACCAAGGGATCCTCGAAGGCGACCTTCTGAGCCTCTGAAAGGGACAAATCTCCTCTTCAACTAGGTCCTCCAGTAGAGAGGTTAGAACCCGGAGAATCTAAGTACCTTCGAAGGAGGTACTGAACGACCCCTTTTTACCCCCCAAAGCCATCCTCATGCGGTACTTGGACCCTCTGGGGAATAAGTTGGCACCAACTTTTTTCTGGACGTCTATTTTAGCAGGGGAACCCTTCCAGCCAAAAAGGGGAGAGAAGGGCACCTAGCTGGGGGACCTAGTTAAGCATCATGCCGCCAAAAGGACACTCACCTCGAACTGCCTTGAACTGACCCCAAAAGGGAATTGTTCAACCCCCCCAAAAAAAGGCCAACAGTTGAAAGCTATGCGGTCTCTGCCCAGTAAGCTCTGGGGAGGTTTGGAGATGCTTTCAGGCCGGGTTGTGGAGGGTTCTAGAGAGGTTCGGAAGCCCAGAAGTCCAATGAGAGTATCTGATTTCCCCACAAGGAATCAAAGAGCCCAAGGGGAGCTTGGCAAATTGTCCTTCACAAAAAGTAAACCAGGAATCCCCAAGAAAAACAAATCATCATCTGCGAGCTCTCGCTAGACTTTGTACGGACGTTGCGCGGAAAGGGAACAAAAAGCACTTGAAGAAGGACTGAAAAGGGTGCTGACTATCCATCCATATTCCCTCTAGCTGCTCAAGGATGGTTCCCTTGGTTACCTTGGAAAATGAAATCTGAAGGGTGGAGACTCCACAGAAAGCCTTTTGTCCCATGGTCGTCAACCCTTTTAGGCCGACTTATTGGTCGCAGTTCGCCCCTCTGGCCCCCTTTTGGGATTCGGGCCCAACAGGACAACCATAGGATAGTGGGACCCAAATGGAAACCGAAAAGAAGCTATTCCATGAGCTGGTACCCCTTTTTGGTAGGTTTTAAAGGGAAGCCAGCAGCCAAACCACAATCTGTTTATTTACTTACTTGTTATCAGTCTTTGATTCGGGGGGGGGATTCCAAACACAAAACACACACTCATCTAGTTTCGGGGACCCCCCAAAATCGCTGGGCTCCCTTTCGCTTTCCATTTGAAACCACCAAACATGTGGCGCCAACTCCACAAAAAGAACGCCCACGAAACTGTTTCGATCCGTTGTGGGAGCCTCGCCTTGGTGTCCGTGATGAAGTATGGGGAGATGTAGCCCCGGTCGAACTTCATGCCCTCCACGACCTGCCGAAAAGACCAGCCGAACACCCCTTACTTTGAGAAAAATCCGGGCAAAGATAAATTGCCACACTCCAAAAGAAAACGTCAAGCTCCGCGTTCACGGGCAGGGGCTTTTACAAAGCACCTTTTCGAGGCACCGCTGCTGGCATTCATAGCTCAGCTCCTTCAACTCAAACAGAAGTGTGACGTTTGCTGTTCCAAGCAGCGACAGTCATCTTCACATCCTAGTACAAGGCATATACATATATGTATTAATATATGTATGTATATACATATTGTAGTGCATATGATCCGTTAATGACAGTACAGTACAAAAAAATTACAGAATTGTATTGCATTGTGTGGTTTGCATGTTTGAATTGTACATTCTGGATTTCAAGTTCCATCTGACCTCCAGCGTCAACCCCTAGCAGCCGGATTGGCACGAGGCTCAGACGCAACAGCTCCTCCTGCCCACGAGGAAGACATCCAGCGTTGGGGCGGAAAGCCATGTTCATCCCAAGCGCAAGAGAAGAAGAGAACCAGAACAGAACTCCGAAGCATGACCAGTAGAGTCTAGCGTTGCGAGGCCAAGCACTTGGAAGACTCTCCTCAACGATGCTCGGTCATGAACATGTCCGAACCTTGCATGGGTAAAGCAACCTCCCGTCCTCATGACCCAGCTTCCAAAGTCCCAGTCTCCTTTAGGCTCGCAGCTCTTGGATGGCTGCTTGCAGCACTAGATCGTCACAAAGGAAGCGAAGCTTCACCGTCAAGGCTTTGTGATCGGCATAGGACTTCATGGTTGAGAAATATCGAGCTGTGAGTATGAGCTCAGAATCGAAGTAGAGTCCGGCAGGTACCACGATGGGCTTCTTCAAAGTCTCGTTACTTCGACTGAACCATTTGCCATCCGTCTCCTCATAGATATGTCGATTACTCCGCAGGCAGTAAGCTCGAAAGGCTGGCCCCTGCGTCTCCTCAGCAGTGGCGTCTCTCCATGGAAATTGATTTGTGAAGGAGGCCCAGTTACGCCATCCGGGCCGCTCCAAGGTCCGAGGTGGCATATGCTCAGGGCCAATGAAAGAGCCCCTGATCACTGTGTCTGGGTTCTCGCGCCATGCGAGACACTGCTCTTGAAACATCCTCAGTAGTCGCTCCGCCACCGCGCGCGCGGAATCCTCACTCCGCAGCCCCACTACGCAGAGCTCTGCGGAGTGTGTCGTTCCAGGCACCCGGGGAAAGGCCTCCTCTGCTGGAATGCTGAAGTTCTTGGCTTTCAAGATATAGCTACAGGCCGGGCGTTCCTTTGTGTAGTACCTGATGAGATCCGTGATTGTGCATCGCCCGGGCTTCAGCACCGCTTCCAGCAAGGGCTGCACCACCCGCCGCTGGGCAAAGCCTGCTGCAGCTCGGCACAGCTTGGGGTCGCAAGCAGACTTAAACTCAAGGTCCAGGCAACGAAGACGCTGCAGCTCAGGGTAATCCAAGTGAGATGACAAGTCCCACTTCACTAGGCGAAGAAGCATGGCTGCGAGGCTGTCTCTCTAAACTTTCCTCAAAAAAAGACGCACATGGTTTGTCGTTGACATCCAACAGGCTATCCGGTCTTGATTTGTGCCTTGCGCATTTCTGGCTTCCATCCTGGGTAGCTGCTGGTTGCTTTGTAGCGTTGGTCCAATCAAGGGATACTTCGGAAGAAAGCTGCGTAGTAGGATTGATACCTTGGCAAGTAAGTTAGCGCACTTTGATATAGATGGTCCGAGCATGTTCTGCGCACAATTCATCTGGCGGTCAAAAGCCAAATCGTCCCCCCAGTGAACATCCCATTCCCCACTAAAATCGGTTCTAAAATGGGTGGTGCACCTACCCAAAAATGGTACCATTGGTTTTGACAACCACAGCTATCTTTCCCAGCGGCTTGCCTCACTCCTTGAGTGGATTGGCCAAAACAAGTCCTTGGACTTTGTACTTACCCCCTACTCCAAATACCCACATTTGTGTTAAGGGCATTTTTTGGAAAACCTGGTTTTTCATGGTAAATATATCCTTTTTCGTAGAGGGTCGACATGATACCCGAAGAAAAGGTGGGTATTTGGAGTGGGGGTACCACCAAAAGGGCCTTTCCAAAAAGTGGCGAAATCCAGGAACTGGGGAAGCGAGCTCCCGCCGGTCAGCCATAGGAAACCAGCCATGGTGCTGGTGTTGCGCCCGACGAGTTCACCATGTTGGTTGACCTGTGATTCTGGGTAAGCCACGTAAGTCACAAGCCTAGGTCCTCCAATTTTAGTAGGGGAACCCTCCCCCGAAAAAGGGTAAACGGGCGCTACCGGGGGACCTAGAAGCTATTCAATGATGGTTTCTCAAAACACCGCCGGTGAGGTCGTTGGTCACCCTTCGGTATGTTTACCTCTGGGTTTTCAATGACTTTTCCCCGATTACCTAGGGCCTCAAAGCAGTGGGTCAAGCAAAGATAACAAACAATTGAAAATCCAAAGGGGGGTTAAAAACGCGAAAGCCTTGTAGCTATGTTTGTTACTTGGGGATCCTATTCTAATTTCAGGTTTTGGCAATGTAACACCTTGCAGATACTGTGACTCCATTTTGCACCACCCTTCAGAAATCCTGGGATTATTTGATTCCTCTGTAAATGCCAACAAACGCTATGGTTTCAAACATGGTTTCAAATGTGGTGTGAGATGGATTCCATCCACGGTATGATTGTATACTTTGGGTTTGAGGGCAAGGGAAACCCAAGCCAGCCAGAAATCCCATGGCACGCCGCAATGTCCCGATGTCCGTCGGTGTGTTTCGCTCAACGCCCGGAAAATGGTTCCAGATCAGCTGATCCGCATATATGAAGTCTACCAGGCACTCATGGAGTGAGAGGAGTTGGGAAGCCCGCGGTCCAAAAGGCGAGTTCAGGGAAGCAAAAACATATATTGTTTAGCAGTTAAGTGGGGAATTCCCGCTAAACCACAATAAGCAAATGGAAAAGGTTTCCCAACAACAACCATGAAACATCGAAAGGTTCAACACATCGCACCCACTCCAGTTCCGACAATCAGGAGGCCCTTCAGGGACCTTCATCGTATTGCAAGTGCACTACCCCACTTCGGCAAATTAGGGCATGTCCTTGCTCCCCCCAAATAATCAATAAGCAAACATTTCGCTTCGAGCCCCGAATCAATAAGCTTCTGGCTGTTTATTCGAGGTACGTTTTTTTTAGTTTGGCATAACACCGAGTTGCCACTTTTGAGGGTTCCAACCATTTTTAAGACAAGCCACACACAACTACCTGAGTCGTTTCCAAAAAAAGGAACCTGGACCCTGAAAGTTCCCCTTAAAATGGGCTACTGCAACCCACAATTATACTTGGTGAATTCCTTTTTTTTCAAGGGTAGTTTCTTCGGGTCCAGGCCAAAAAGAGGGTGTCCACCCATATCCCCCCGGGCGATGAAACCTCCCGCGAAAATCCCCGAGTTGTTTTTTTGCGATCGATTCTCCGCCTCCAGCTCATGCTCCAAAGTCTTACCCTCCGCCACCGTGATGGTGCCCTCCTTCGACGGGTTGCGCATCGCAGTCGCGGATAGTCGCGGCCCCAAGATCTCAATCCAATCGCTCAAGAACCAAAGAGAAGTGTTCGACGAGTGTTCGACCTCGGGCTAAGGCTCAAACAGCCGAGGCTGATTCGGGCCGGGCAGTCGTGAGCCTTTGGGGTATAATGCCTTTAAAGGGCGAAATGACGCCCTATGGTAGGGGCAATGACCACGGCTTTTTGCTGCTGTGGGTTGGATATGGCTGACGGTTTCTTTATTTTGCAAGGTCGAGGAACGACCACCTGCTGTATTCTTCTGGCTTGGTTGGGGGCCATTTCCCGCATAAACCACCATTTGGGGTGAGGTCCACTTTGCCCCAACAACCAGCAACAGTGACTGAAAAAAACAGCAGTTGGGCTATCTAGGTGGAAACAACATATCACTCCGAATCATATATCTCAATACAAAGGGCCAGAGGCCAGTTCCGATTGCGGCCCCTCCCCTGGTGAGGCACGAGTACTTGGACCCTCAATTCATGGTTTGGGGGGGTAGCTTGCAGAGTGGGGACGGTCCGCATGGTTTTTTCCCCCCAGAACTGCCAGCAAGGGCCAACTTGCCTACTTGGTTCAGCTCAGTTTCCAAAACTCCGGCCGAGAAGCGCAGTCTACACTTTTCAACCGAAGGTGCTCCGATCTTGGTACCACAGTGTGGCGCAAGTGGCCGTTTCACACTTGCCCACTCCTCGGAACAGGCTGCGACAGAGAGTCACGCCTGCCGCCTTTCCGCGACTCCAGGAGAACCCTCTCAGCCACAGCCATGGAACTTGAGGGAGGCCTTTAGACAACTTCCAAGCCTCCGGTCAGGTTCTCAGGTTCCATTGCCACGGCGGGTTCCAATCTTAATGGAATCCTCGGCGTCTGTCGCGCCGACGAATTGTCGAGCCGGGATTCGGGATGGCAGCACTGTACACATGAAACCCCTGTGCGTGCCTTTCGCAGTTCGCAGTGCGCGCCTGCGTTGTTTGCATTTGGGACTCAGAACCAGCGCCCGTGGCTCCAAAACTCTGCGCCGGAAACGCGGGCAAAAATCCATGGTGTGCATTGGTTGATCCCGCAAGCTGCGTAGCTGTCAACAAAGCCTTTGTAGGCAGAAGGGGTCCTGAACCCAAGAAAAGGGTATTCATTTAGAGGGAATCCATGAAACCAAGTGAGTCAGGCCGCTCACCGTCCAGTTGCTTCAGCCGCCTGGGAAAAAAAGAGCGTATGTCCAGTAGTGAAATCGATTTCCAATAGTTAAATCGTCTCCTTCTCCCACCGGGCCGCCCTAAGAAACCCGGCTGAAGGATCAATAAAAAAAAATCAGGATCAAACAAATTAAACGGGTAGTAGTAGTAGTAGTAGCAGCAGCAGCAGCAGTAGTAGTAGTAGTAGGAGGAGTAGTAGTACTAATAGTAGTAGTAGTATTAGTAGTGAAATCAAAGTAGTAGCAGTAGTAGTAGTAGTAGTAGAAGTAGTAGTAGTAGTAATAGTAGTAGTACTAGTAGTAGTACTAGTAGTAGTAGTGGTAGTAGTAGTAGTAGTAGTAGTAGTAGTAGTAGTAATGGTAGTGGTAGTGGTAGTGGTAGTATAATATTAGTAGTAGTGGTAGCAGTAGTAGTAGTAGTAGTAGAAAAAGCACTCGTCTTGCGCTATTCGCCCTTTCCGCCACACTAACTTAGTCTTCCCCTCAGTCTACCTTGTTAACTTTCTAGCTGGCGCAACTACTAACTTGCTAACTTACTAACTTGCTAACTGGCTAACTTGCTGAGTTACTAACTTGTTATACCGGCCGTACCTACTAACTTGCTAACTTAGTAATTTGCTAACTGGCTAACTTGCTACTTACTAACTTGCTAACTTACTAACTTACTAACCGCCGTATGCTGACTTACTAACCGCTCTTGCGAACTGCCTCCTCCTTCACATGGTCTGGAATAATGTGTTTTTGATCCCGAATTATTTAGTGATCCTAACTTAACCTTTTTTGATGCGTATGCCAAGAAAGCCTCTCATTGTGACCTATGCTGTCAGCCTAACTGTCATTTTTTTTCGGATTTACGTTTTCAATACGACTCCTGCAACATTTGCGTTTTGTTACGTGTTTTACACCTTCCTGCATCTTCATTTGAGCAAAAAAAAGTGCGCACAACGGAAAAGTGCGCGTTTCAATCAAAAAACGCGCAAAGTTCCAAGAACTGCGCGAGGCGTTTTTGGCTGGTTTGAAAAAGGTGCGGGGTGTGTATAGCCTGGACATGAACCTGTCAAGCTGTTCAAAAACAACTATAGGCAAGGATACATGCGCCTAATCGGCCAGAACTTAGATGATCCAAAGAACATTTACCAACGGAGCGGTTGTCGGGAATAGCCTTCAACATTGCCAAGCCAGCTTGACAGCCAAGTGAAACAAGTTTCAACTCCTTGAAATTGCAAGAAGTTCGAACGGCTCTTGCAAGTGGCGCAGCTTCAAGCGACGACCACATGTGGCTCAAAACCGATCTGTTGGTTGGCAATTTGGGCGCTTTAGACATCTGCTGCCTAATTAAAAGGTCAAAAACGCACGCATACATGCGCACACTTTTCGAATTTGCGCGCAATTGCGGATATTTGCGCGATAGTACCGGATTTTTGCGCGCAAATTGCGGGCTGGCAAGGCGCCGAAAATAGACTAATTTCACCTATCAGCGACTTGTCTCAATAAAAATGCGGCGCAAGCACAGTTCTGGAGCAAACAGCGGATCCGTGCAAACCCAGGCAATACTTGCGGGCTGGGAGCTCTTCACGGAGCCAAGCGGGTTGCTAAATCAATGGCCTCAAAGTGTCAAGTGCAAGTGATATATAGCTGGTACTTGTGCCGGGTGTGCCACAAATTTCCTGCCTAAAACAGGCTTGGGTGGAGACAAAGAAGAGCTAGATATGCTGTAAACATCAAGGACTTCAACAAACAGCTGCGCC